CTTTCTTCAGGCTATAACACAAACCATACACACCACTGTGCACATATTGCACTATCATTTAACAGGATTGCCAGCATGACACCAATCACAGCATGTGTTCCACTTATAATACCACCTTGTTATAAACAAGAATTCTTCATACAAACAAGATGTGTACATAAAATGGGAAATTTTGAATCATCTGTGGGTGAATGGAAATCTTATCCATTCTTGAAATCACTGCTAACTACACTCACTACACATCACTATACATTATACACAAAGATAGAATGTTCACACTAGAGAAATTAAACTTCACTTTACACTCGTCATTATTGTAACCAAAACAACATACACTATTACACAGCTCTGTCACACACAACCAAGACATAAATTCAAAAAATAACTTCTTCAATGGGAACTAGAAATTCACTTTGCAGCCTCTTCTTACAAATACCTGTAAGAATGCAAAAAAATGTATCATTCTGAGTAATAACCTACACACACATGTAATATTCCGAGGCTACATACCAAAACAACACCGTTTTCTGTCATACCAAATATGCACTCATAAAATATATTTCACTCTCTATCCACATAACCACTAAAACACATTTCTTGCAAACCACTCTACATATTTCACACGAGATTATTAATAATATTGTGACATGTTGCGCAAAGGAGAACCCCCCCACCAGCAGTGACGCGGCGGGTGAGTCAGCGCTCCCCTCCCCCTCCTCCGCACGGTAACGTAACGGTGACGCAACAGGATTGTTACGGTAGTAACAGCGGTTACTACCGCTAGCGTTACTAGCCACACAGCGCCAGGCAACAAGGGTGCCCATTACGTGGCCGTTTTCCGTATTGTCCGATCAAGGCTACATAAGGAGCAGCGAAGGCTATTCACAGTCAGTTGTACTGAGTCAGTCAGTCCTGGCGCTACCGCCGAGTTAGTCCTCGAGCTACCTCCGAATTAGTTCCGAGTTAGCCAGCAACCAGTCATTTGTATTGTGGCATTTGGGGTGTACTATTTGTGATACTGCAGATAGCAATAATCGTAAATCTGTAATTTGGGTGATTGTAAGTGCGAATGTGAAATAAAATTCGCTATATAAAATACGGCGTGAAGTTATTTGTCGCGTCATACGCCCAACACGCGACAATATTTCAAGAATAACCTCAAAGACAGATTGCCTTGCTATACACCCACTATTCTTATATGCAATTACTTTCATTAAATCAATAAATGTACATTATGGTGTAGTCTTCCTTAGCACATACAGTACTTCAATTTCATGGTTCAGAGGGAAAATACTTCGATTTCGTTGTGGAACAGAGGAAACACGTGTTTGTAAAATTTGGTGCACTCGCCATTACTTGGTCCAGGATAATACACACATTAAAGCCTAACAACTGCACTATCTCACCGAATCTTTTATCATATACTTTCAGGCAGATAATTAATCACAACTTGTACATATGTATATAAACATACTCATGACATCTTATTATTTATAAACACCTCTTCATACCAGGAAAGAAACGTACCTTGATGGTGAATATTAGAGTAAATTTTACCGACCACACAACACGTTTTTTATTTACTGTCGCACTACATGTTTCGACCTCAAGAGGTCATCCTCAGGTGTATGAACACAGTTGCACAATCACACGCAATCACATTCGTTTTTCCACTTATTTTGATCCTGTATCCTGTTCAGGTCCACGCTCAAATAATATGTCAAGTTTTTCTTATAAAATATAAGTTAAAAATACAAATGTTAAAAGTTAAAATTTAAAATTTAGTTCACTGTAGCTAGTTATATTATTACCACTTGGTTAAAAAGTTCATGAAAATAAACTTCAACTCATCACATTGACTGTACTTTCACTTTTGAAGGTCTTGTTGTTCTTCGGCGTCCTCTGATGTTGGGTCTATTACGTTCCTTGTCGTGATGGCCATCATGTAAAATTAACTCTAATATTCATTAAAATACACAACAGGATGCAACAAACAATTAAATACCTTGATGGTGTACACCGGACATTCAGGTCACAGTGACAGGGCAGCCAACCTCTTAACATCACTGAAACAGAAACATAGGGAACTGAGTTGATTCTTTTTACGATTATCAGTGAGGTAATCAATATTGAAATCGCCACATACGAGTATAATGAATTCAGTTTTTGATGTGTATAATGATTTGAGCACATCATCCATTTTGAGTATAAAATTACTAAAAAATACCGGAGTGGACTCTGTACACAGATAAAATATAAATATATGATGGTTCATGTCGAATCTTTACAACACACAGTTCTATATCAAATTCTACATAATATTTATCAAGATTTACAGCAAAAAAAATTATATAGTTGAGAACAAATATACATGTTCCACCTTTCATAGCATTAATTCTACAAAAACTGGCCCCAACCACATAATTTTCCATTACAGTGTTGTAAATTTCGGCATTCTTTAGATGGTGCTCGCTAATACAAATGATATGTGGTAGCTCAGAGTATAGGAAACTTAGCAGTTCATTGATTTTTGATTTCAAACCACAGATATTTTGATGGTAGATATTTAATTTTTTTTTTTTGAGACACATGATTTACCACTTTTACTATTCAATCTATTTAAGTGTGATAAATTACAGTAATCTTGGTTACTAAAAATAATAGTTGGGTTTAATTTTCCCATAAAAATCATCTGTTCTTGTTACCGGCTTTTTTCTAATATGTTTACGCTTGTTACCTTCATCAGTATTCTGTGGTAAAGTATGATTGGTAGCAGAGGAATGACTAATTAACTGGGCTTGAAACTCATAATAGCCAACTGCTATAATATTGCATCTCGAATTACTTGTCTTTTTTTATACGGGGAAAAAATAAGATAAGCCAAATTAAGAGAAACCATCTTTTTTCCTCTGCCATTCAAGTGAAACCCATGTTTAGTATAATAATGCCTACTGTCATCTATTACAAGAACACTAAGATGAGAGAACAGTTTACCCAATTTAATTAATCTTCTATTAAATTTGGCAATCTCATTATTAATACTGCTATTAGCATCTTCTAAGTCATGTCTAGTAGGAAATGTTAATAAAACAGTTTTTGTGAGTGTAATTCTCTTGATAAAATCGATTAAATCGCTAAAAACCTCACTTAATTTAACTCTGCCTGTCATTAGATCCAGAGGAAAGAATAATAAAATCACTAGATAATATCTTATTAATCTCATTATTAGTTTGTTCTAATATACTCTTTGTTCCCACTCCAGGTTTGATAAAACCACTTACTTGGAACTGGTCATTCAGATAAGTTTTTATATTTGCAGAATACCCTCTTAAATGACTATCTCCTATAAGCAGTACTTTGTGTTTCTTGCAGTTAGGAATACTAGATCTATCATCTAACAATTCAGCATACAAATCATTTAAAGTACTTTGAGTAAGAGATGTTTAATTGTTCTTGAAAGCAATATTAAAAATCCCTAGTTTCCAAAACATAGCCATTAATTATAGTTTGAATTTTATTTTTAGATTCCATATTTTCATTCTGGGTATGCATAAGATCATTTATCTGCTGATTTTTCCTTTTCCTAGGTATTCTGGAGTCACAATAATTTATAATATGTTTGTTTGTGCCATTCCTTCATCATAGTAACTCTTCCCTTTTTTATCTAACATCTTTAGTCACACATAAAGTCTCTTAATTTACAAAGTTACTTCCTCTTATATCTTCCATAGGCTGCCCGTTGTTTAAATATTCGTTCCCCTTCACAGCCATATTTTCTGCACCAACCATAACCTCAGATTTTGTGTCACCTGCTCCCAGTTCATTATATAGTAAGAGAATGGAAAGCCACTAGATTCTAAAGGGTTCTGATGATGGTGGGTGACACACAGAATTACTGGGCTTTTGGACTTTTTCCATCGTCCGGAATTCTAGGTAATAGAGTCAGCCATGTGAAACATGCGGCCCCCATCACCACAGAGTGCGGCCTCTCAACTTTTAGAGCTAATTGATATTAAAATCAATATTAAAATTTTAGTAGAAATATTTTTTGTAAAGACAATTTTCCAACAGACCAGAAGACAAGAAGTCTCAGGCAGACATAAAGGAGCAGGCTGCAGGAAAAGTGATTCTGAGAATTGCAGAAGGGTTGTCCAACTAACGGTTTGTAAAGGTCGTGAAGGACAAACTATTGTATTTCAGAAGGTTAATGCACTAAAATCCGCATAGCCTCATCACTCGAAGTATTTCCAAAAATCCCTTTTCGAGGCGTAGTAAGAAGGCAAGGAGGGTGGCAACTGACAGACAAGTGCAAGGGATTTCTACCTTCAAACCTAGCGTGCAACCCCCAGCCATTCTCTAATGGGCTGCTAAGAAACTTTCACTTTTATGACCATTGAGACAAGATACATCTTCCTACTAGTCCGGTAGTCTCTTGTGGGTGAAATCATCCAGAAGGTCACTCACCGTTTAAAAAAAAATTCAAAATTTGTACACGTATTTTTAAATATCTTCACACCTCAAAAATATTTTTTAAAAATTGTAATCCGCTCGGCTCTCCCGGTACAGCCGTTTTTATAACGCGAAAAAACGCGTTTTCGGCTCAAATGGAGGTTTGCGTTATCTTCTGTATCTCGATAACTGTTGAAGCTAGAGACTCCAATGAAAAACCCAATTTGTTCCTCATGGTATGGACAACAAATCATATCATTACAAGGTTTCACTCAACTCACTTCCTCTAGGTGTAATTAAGATTGAAACTTTGTAATGCCGTAGAATTTCGGCAAGGGATTTTGTAACTTTTAGGTATTAAGTTATCTTGGGCCCAGTAGAGAAGTTAGACGAAGGGTAAAGTTTGAAGAGAATGCGGAAGAGCGACGTCAGTAGAAATTTGTCGCATTGCTTAGACCGCTGATTCACGCGGAAGAGACTGAAAACGGCTGTAGGGCCAAGGCGTACAGAGTGCCGACTCAGCGAGACGGCCTGAGGAGATCCAACCCTCTTTACCCAGCTGACCAACGAGAGACGGACCCTTGGGGAAAAATTCGCTCTAGTGAAGAGGCGGAGCTTACCCCAAGACATTAGTCAGCAGGGGGAAGGTTATAAAGTTGCGGACGCAACTGGAAGAGGTCTATCATTGAATCGATCATGGAATCTTTTCGGATCAAACAATCAATCCTTTGAGCATCGTAACTGAGTGTACAATGTTAAGTGAGTAGCCAGCCAGATGCCCGGAGGGCCAAAGCCATGGTCCTGCCAGACCAGGTGAGGGGACACCATCAGCTTCCTACACCAAGGAAGTGGAACTGTTCATATCAGTCATGGATATACAGTGAGATATTATTAAAGTGTCATGTTACAGGGTTAGGGCAGAGAGAGTAGGCCCTGAGTGGGGACGTAGGAAGTACCTCGAAGGCTAGGGATTGTGAACCCAAGTGTATTTTTCTCTAAATTACAATGTGTACGTAACCGGCCACTGTCGGCCATGAAAGTGATATGTATAAAGTGTATATATATTAGTAGACGAGAGTAGACCGAGTGAAGGGGATGTGTGGTGTTAATGACTTACCCCCAGTCACACCCTCTATTCCCCCGTTCTCCCGTACCTCCCTGTGTTATCGGGACTGTGAACTCACAGCCAAGAGGTAGTTAACGAGTCAAGTACCAAGTGCTTAGCCTTGCAACTGGCCATTCCCCAAGGGCGCAACGGCATGGATGGCGGAAGGGGTGAAGCGAATCCTCCACGCCCCCCTTCGCGCCGTAACATAGGGTGACAGCGGTGGGATACCTCCAGACTGACTGGGGTACAAGGGCAGACTGCAGCTTGGAGGTGAAGGCGAGACACAGAGAGTCGGATTCCAGTTGTCACAAGGGTTAGACGAGCAGGGCTGCGGCCTCAACCCTTGTAGGGAATATTTAAAGTGCCCGCCCAATTCTCTGTACTTCATCAAGCATCTCTTATTCTAACAATATAGCACTGTTAAATCCAATTGCTTGCTGTTGTCTTTCCACCTAATCCCAACCCCGTACATCGAATCGCTCACCGCTCGGCGAACCTGAGTATCCCTGAAATACTGGGATACATTATATTCCCCATGTAGGAAACAACAAAGGGTAGAATTTGAGGCTTTCACGGCGGTGACTATGAAGAAAGCAGTATGGTTCATAAATTTTAAGCTTGATCTTGAAAATTTTTAAAACAAACTTTTGAAAAAGTTTTAACACAAAGAAGGCCGCCGTGAATGTGGAAGGTTGAACATTGCGTATATTGTGCATTTTAGACATCATATGTGTATCCATACAATTAACATCTATTGTAATAGTAGTTTCCGAAAGTACTGATACCCTCCGAGGATGATCCGTTAAGGATCGAAACATGTAAGGGAGATAAATCCTCAAGTGATAAAACTTAAATAGTCACATTAGACGGTATTATTTTTGCCTTTGTAAAATATAAGTGTTCCACTTTAGGTAATTATATTGAAATTATTCCTAAATAATAAACAGAATTAAATTTCCTTGTATCAAAATCTAATGTATATTTTTATTTTGAAGTGCGGCCCTGGACTATTGTTTATAGGGCTGAGGTGGCCCTCTGTACAAGCTGCATTTGACATGCCTGCTCTAAGTTCTCTATTACCTAGAATTCCGGACAATGGGAAAAGTCCAAAAACCCAGTAATTCTATGTAATATAGGACCCAGAGTGTCCTCTTATTACATGCAATTCTGGACGATGGGAAAAGTCCAAAACCCAGTAATTCTAGATCATTCTTCCTCATTTCAGGAGGTTCAATTTCTTGCCTGTGTACATTAAATAATCTCATAACACCCTAAGATCCAAGTTCTGTTTCGCTTAAAAAGGGAACGGTGAGGGATCACTGAGTCAATCCATATGTATGCCTAATCTGCATCAAGAACTAATGATGCAGCTTTTTAATAACTCTTGGCATAATGACCATAGCAGAACATTACATCTCTGCCTTCAGTGACATCGACATCGATATCAGATCAATTTTCTTATGTGGCAGTAACAATAGTCCCATTCAATATTGTATCCTGAAATATAATAAATTTTTTAGAAATGTACAACTTTTAAGTGATGTCTGATTCAAACAGAAAATGTCATTGGAGCATCTGTACATGCAAAACTGATTTATAATTTGTTAATTTACAAAAGATGCAGCCATGGCCTATCTAATATTTCTCAAAAACTATCTAGTTACATGAGCTTTTTACTTTTAACACCAACATTATTATAATGTTAAATGTGTATTTCTGTTTTCTCACACTATGCCGTAATGACAATTCAGATTTTAGGTTATCACTATCTCCCGTCCAAATGTAATGTCTCAGCAACCTCATGTCATTATAATTCACCCTAAAAGACTTAATAATTTTAGCTTTCCTGTTTTATCACGAGACTCTGTTGTCTAGTGGCAAGAGTTCCTGGCTACATATCCAGAGATTTGGGTTTGATTCCTGGCAGATTTTCTGAGTAGTGGGCCTGGAAAGGGGTCCGCTCAGCCTCATGATAACTGAGCAGCTATTTCAAGGAAATAGTGGCTCAGGTCTAGAAAACCGAGATTAACGGCCGTAGGAATCTGTTGCGTTGATCACGTGACACCCTCTGTCCTCTTAAAGTTGGCACTAAATTCGCCGAGAAGCAGCAGTCGCTCGGTTGGTATAATTCACTTGTGGACTACAACCACGGAGTTTGATTGTTTGTTTAGTTTTATTTTATCGTGATAATGCAAGGTGTGTGTTGCTATCATTTGTTAGCACTGCTTTTGTAAAGTGTACACCATGCACAAGTGTTTAAAATCAAATAATGACAAATTATTTGGAATATGTTTATCAGAAGTAAAAATCCCAAGATAAATAGAAGCTGGTGCATGAGTGAAACGGCTAAAATTAGGCAGATTTACTTTTGCATTAAAGAGACAATATGTCCACAAAAATTGTGAAGGCCACATATAACTAAAGTACCATGGGTTGATATGCTTAGAGAAGCAAGTTTTAAACATGTTTATATACTGGCTGTGTTCTAATTTGTAGTCTGCAATGTACTTATACTCAACAAGCTAAATATATTTTATTATATACTTTTTACACAATGAGATTCCTGAAAAAAAAACATGCAACAAAGAATCTTGCTTGATTCTCTTAAACACATTACAGAAAATATGCACGATTTGTGTTACATGGTAACAGTACTGTTCTCTTGTTTGCACATTATTGTCACCTGTAAGCAAGCCGTTTTTCTGCAAGGTTTACAGACATGGTGGCAAATGATCAGCAAGTATAGAGGAGAAAGCAGCAATAACCTGTTTTTATGATTTTGAATATCTGAGGAAGGGCATTGTGGATGCTAGTCATTGCATCCTGAATGTTTTGAACACATAACACTAATTTGTAGGTCACATTAGTAACAACAAACTGAAAAATAACATCTGAGGTTTTCACAGTGGTGGATGTTTTGATTACAACCATCTAGGTTCTGACATCATACTGTCATGTAGGTAGTCACCAACTTTTACCTGAACGTGGAAGCACTATGTACCTCTGAAACAATGATGGACATTTTGTCTGAGAACAGGAAAAAAAATACCCAAAATCAGTTACAGAGCTCTTAAGCGGCCTCCGTAGTCTAGAGGTAATGTTCCCACCTCATGACTCGTGGTACGCGGGTTCAAATACCTGGCGGAGGTCGTCGAATTTTTAAGGGCAGAAAAATTCAGGGAACAAGTCCTCCGGGAGGGACTTTAAGCTGTGTGTCCCGTGTCATAACTTTACGGCACGTAAAGAACCTCATATCCCCAAAGGGGATCACTGAGCCAAATTCCAGGACGTTCCCGCCCAACAATAGTCTCTAAGGCCTCTGATAGATGGGGGAAGCATTATAGACACTGCTAAGCAAGTGGCCGAACTTGCTTGCTCGGCGGGACAGATGGTATGCACAATTTATCGGTAGGCTAAAGAGACTGGTAAAATATCATAGAGGGAAGCACAACAGATCAAACTGGTCATGGCACATGGGGAAACCTACCCTCCCTAAATAACTAACTACAGAGCTCTTAAGGCTTGAGGAAAAAATATTTGTGCAAGGCACCTGTTACTTCATAAACAAAATTCCTGAAATTAATAAAAGAACGAGAAGTATAGGAATAAAATATTAACAGTATATTCTCAGTAACAGTAATAGTAATATTAATAATTAATTTAAGAGAGATGTCCAAAAGTCACAGGGTCACTGCTATGATAGAATAAGATTTTTATAAGAATGTGCTACAAAGGGCCGGATGTGCATTGCCTAGACCATACAAGATCTCTTTTTCAAATAAAAAGAGTCTTTGAGGTCAGTACCCCCTTTAAAGACATCTGGACAAAGGAAAACTAAGGCAGGAATCAACAATAAAAAAACATCAAACCAACCACCATTCAAACACACTTTTTAATTTAATTTTTCACTTATATTTTTAGTTAGAACAAAGAAAATAACATTTCTTCTCCTGACCTTGAATCTTACTGTTCAAAGCAATTTGCCATAAAAATTCATTACAAGAATTTCATTTCTTGAGAAGGCTCACTTTAATTCTACAAATTAACACTGTTGTTTTGCTGGAAGAACATCCCACACTCTTCCAAAGAAAAATGTACACCATATTTTGCAAAGGCATCTTAAATCAGGTAATCTGGACATTGACTCTGAGCTTCTTTAACAAACTTAAAATTCACACTTCACTTCAAAGCTAGACTCCTGCACAAAAGCAGCAGAAATGTATTGACAAATTCCAAACGAATTAAGTAACTGAGCATTAATCTACAGCAGGCATGTCAAACTCAACTTGTACAGAGGGCCACCTCAACCCTATAAATAATAGTCCAGGGCCACACTTCAAAATAGAAATATGCATTAGATTTTGATACAAGGAAATTAAATTCTATTTATTATTTAGGAATAATTTCAATATAATTACCTAAAGTCACATATCTTACAGTTTTAAAAAGCAAGAGAATGCCATTTTTGACAAGTATCAAACAACTTTTCAATATGTAAAAAGAGAGGTTACACAAGAAATTATGTTAGAAATAGCAAATGATTGAATTTCCTGCAGCCTGCTAATTTATGTCTGCGTGAGACTTCTTGTCGTATTGTCTGGTGGAAAATTGTATTTATAAAAAATATTTCTACTAAAATTTTAATATTGATTTTAATATCAATTAGTTCTAAAAGTTGAGGGGCCGCACTTTGTGGCTATGGGGGCCACATGTTTGACACGGCTGATCTACAGGGACACATCTTACTTTTAAAACGTGGCTAATAGGTCATACTGGATGTTCCACATCCTTCAGCCTAGTAGCAAACGTAAGGCATGTGAAAGAAGAGAAATGTGTACCTAATAACCAAGAGTAATTATAAACCTGCTATCCTTCGAAGGTTTCTTGCACATTCTTATTACAACTACAAATATGAATGTTAAATTTCTCTAGAATGTGAAACACACACTGACACCCAGCCCCTCCCCACCCATTACTAGGTGTTTTCATGTTTTTTACTTGAAATACCGATCTTTGTAAAAAAGGTGTAATTAATATGGGAACTAAAATATTTAATTGCCTGCCTTCCCTTGAATTGAAAATCGTTAAAAATTTTAATGTTTTAAGAGGAAATTAAAAAATTATTTGTTGTGCAGCGCTTTCTATTCTCTTCAAGAATTTTTCAACTAATGTTGGATTGATGACTAGCTTGTTGACTGTCTTTTGGTTTGCAACTTTTAATATTGTGTTTACGTTTTATATTACTGACATTTTTCTTTTGATCTTCTGTATTTTTTAATGTTATGTTCCTTATAATGGTTGCTATATTATAGTGATAAATCACTGTGTAAATTTTATGTGACTTTGACATGTGATGTATTCGTTATTTCAAGACATGTCCAATTGTATTCACTTCAGTTACGGATGAAAATAAAGTTGAAAGTAACACATTGGTCAAGTAACAGAATCCCTGATAAAGATTACATTGGAATATGGATGGCAAAATTCCATGGCCACTGTCATCAGAATTAAGTCTGATGGACTCCTTGTGTGGCTTCTTTAAATACAGTGTCAGTAGCTAGCATACACAATGTCAACTGGTGAGGTGATGGGTGAATGATGAACTGGAAAGGATCTGGAAGGAAGGAGTCATGGTTTCATCAAAGTACTCTGGAATTTGCTTACAGGCACTAAAGGAAACCATGAAAAACCTCGGTTAAGATAGCTGATGGCCTGGTTGCAATTCAAACCAAGCATTCCCCAAATATGAGTCTAGGCTGTTACTGCTAGACAGACACACATAACAGGTCTTTCTGTTACAGCTTCATGTTGGATGCCTTCTTCTGACTCCTGTGCCACAGAGCATGAAAGATCTCATGATCTGGGTTGAACAAGTCTTACAGCCAGTGGACATATGCACGCTTAGCATACTTTGAAATCAAAATGACCATCATTTGGAGATCTCCCATGTTACAGAACAGGCACACTTCTATTAAAAAACTTACACTTGTACTCTGTCATTTGGTACATGTATCACATTTCTTCCTTAAAAAACAATGAATCTGAGCGTGTAAATCTGTTGAGTTCATAATTATCTTGCATATCAAGTGAAAATGCTTTACAGTGGCATGAAAAACTTACCATTTCACGGCCAAATTTTGAACTTCTCCATTTTTGTCTTCCAATAAACGCAATAACATCTTCACAACTTTACGTTCGGAATCATCATCCAATTTAATGCTGTCCTTCTGAAGTTCTGTCATTAAATCACTGGTTGCCATAAAACTAAAATCTTTATCACTTGAGGTCATCTATAACCAAATACATGCAAAAAACATGTATATATTAAATTTTAGAAGACACAACAAAAAACCTCGAAAGATTGGGATGTTCACTTTTCAAAATTTATGGATACGATAGTCACACATTAATCATTTCAATAGATCCTCGACAGTTTCGCTTAACGTTATATTGCATGCATTTAATGACACAAAACGTCATTATTTATGGCAAATCAAGTACGGTGCAATGCTTTTGTCGCTACTTTCATGCAGTTTAAGATGTCTTGGGAATTTACTAACTTACCTTCTCTAGTAAATTTGCTATTTGACACGATACACTCGCCATCTTAATGAATAGCAAGCAAATAAATCAATTAGATGGAATTTAAGAGTGCACAAATCGGAGGGGACAATTCTGTATTAAGATTAGGTTTGTTAAATATTCAAGACAAATGACCGGCACACCTCAAACCCAACTATCCCACCCCACCATCGACGACCATCGACGACCTTCGACCTACTTCTGAGCTCATTAAATACTAGCCCTCTGCAACCTAATGTTATTGACTCCCAATGTTGCTGCCGTGACATCACAAATGTATAATCCTGCCATCTATTTTCAACGTTGAGGATAACTCTGCAAAATGGCCGCAGCAACTGCCAAGAGCTCAGTCAATAAAAAGGTTAGCTACTTCCCGCTGTACTAGACTACAACCACCAGGCCTCCAGAAGCCAGAGCCCACAAAACAATGGCTAATTTTGCCAGCCTGCTCTCTTGCACTGCAGCGGTTCTTACTCTGTTTCTAGAAATGTTGGCCCTTTTGTCATCAAACACATTTCTTGAAAAGTTTACAATGAAATGCTGTAAGAATGAGTCTGTCTAGGTTGTAGTCACCTGCATTACTGATCTAGCCAATTTTAAAACATTTATAGAAAAGCAAGAATGAATAGTATTAAATACTAGAGTCAGTGAGAACTTCCTATTATAACTGCTTGCTACAAATTTTAAACTGTATCACATAAATTAATGGGGAAGAATGCTGGAATGAGACTACAAATCAATAAAGTAAAATTCCAGAAAGGAATCTCAGTACATTTTTGGTCAGAGGCAGAATAAATCGTCTTGGGTTGCCTAGCAACCACAGACACTTTAGAAAATGGTGGGCTGTCTTTACAGGAACTAAGCACGCTTGATAGTTACTTTGAAAAGATGCAATTGACACTGTATTGGTGAACATATTTTATACATTCACAATCTTTATGCAGCCATACTATAACACACTGAAACTACTTAATAATTTTAAGTAAGTTTTGACTGTATTGCAAACCTATTGTTATGAGGCTTAAAAAGTTTTTACTTCGATATTTTCCTCCAGGTAAGGATTTCAAGGTTACACCGTGTTCTTACTCTCAGAAAAAAATTCATAGGTATATGGCTATGTAAAATACAGCATGAGGATTCAGACAGGCTGTAACTTCAAGCTATTAGTTTCAGTTTTTAAGAGTTTTACAAGTACATAGGGATATCACTTTTATGAATATTCATATTCATATTTCTGTCTTCCAGAGATGTATGTACATAGATATGGAATCCATCATCATTTATACTAGATAACAAAATAATAATAAGATATTTAATCATACAATATATCCCACTGGATATCACAAAGTATAAAACATACATATGCGTCTATGATAGGCCACATATAATGTATCACACACTATGCAAAGTAACACTATAATAAAATAATTGATGATACAATGTAAATCCAACTGTACGTCCATTTTGTTGTAAAACTTTTCGGTTTTTTTCTGTAGGTTTTTATTTCTTGATCTACACACTTCCACTTTTACATCCAGTAATATCATCTAGTATACGCACTAGCGTGCACGTGCGCATACGAAAAACCAACTTACCACCACATTGCCTGGAACCGTACTGGGACAGCCATGTGGTCAGAATGTACGACATNCTATTGTCAACTTAAATTTAAAACTCGTGTCATTAAACATAGACTTAATGTCAGATGGCAAATGGTCAAAGTTCTTTACTCCCATATAACATATTCCTTTTACATTTACATTCTGTTTATTCATTACATTCTTTTTAAGATGCAAGTAGCTGTCTTGCTTTACAATTTAAAGAAGACAAGATTGTCAGTGCGTTTTCTACTTTTTAGTTACTTATTTTAGATATAGTACACAATCTTTATATCACTGTATACTAGTCTTTATTTCAATTTATTATATTATTAATGTATGTTATACAAAACTTATTAATGACATTGTATTTTAACTATTGGATTTTTAAGTAATAGACTTGTATAAAACTGTATAAATTGTATAAGGTTTGCCATTGCTCTTACTACAAAAATTGGAGGGGGGCACGCAGTAGCGTAGTTGGTTGAGGGATTATGCTACAAGCTGGAAGGTCGTGGGTTCAAGTCCTGATGAGGTCAATGGATTTTTTCAATTGACCTGATCCTTCCAGCCGCACTATAGCCCTGGGGTCGACTCAGCCTCTAACAGAAATGAGTACCAGGAATTAATTAAATAATTTTCCTGGGGAGTAAGGCTGACAACCTTACCGCCATCTTTGAGCTGACTGTCTAGTTAATGTGAGACCCCCAACGTCTCACAACCCTATCGGCCTTCATGGTCTCTTACCACGATGGCTTTACTTTACTTACTTACTTACTTACTACTAAAATTAACTTATTTTATTATATTGTATACATTTATCAGTACTGTATTACAAATGTGTATGCTATTGGAAGACAAGTGTAATCTTAGTTGTGACTGTAACAAGGACAATCTCCACATCTGCATGAGAATGTACTCTCGACAGGATTTATGGAAGGTGAATAAAAATGAAATGAAATTCCTGTAGACAGAGATTTATTCTGTATATGTTAACTCTTTGACTGGCGCGGGCGTGTTTTAATGCCCGGACGATGCCAGTCGTTCCCTGGCGTAGGCGTGTTTCAACGCTTTGACAATCTCTTCCCTTCTTTGCTCTCTTGGCACACATCAACCAAAGACATATATATGATAGTTTTTGTGCATGTTTGTAAAGAACCCTTGTAAACTTTGTGGGGGTCTATATTACTGTCAGAACCCTCTGAGAAGGAAAAGGTCAGAAAATATTTCACATTCATTCAGTTTCACCACGGCTTCTTGCAGCAAGTGTCTTCGTGTTCCTACAGACCAGTTGGAAAATGTTGTGAACGAGATTTGTTCTGATGATGATAGTGGCGATGAAATAATGATTCCTGAATTGGATGAAGTTGATAGTGACAATAANAGAATATTTGTCCACTAGGCCCCTATTTCACACCCATGGTATGGACAAAACATGTCTTTGCGGTTGAATAGTTTCATTCTATTCAAAAAGAACACAACAAACGAAAAATACAAGAAGAGAAATTACAGATTCAAAGATTTTATATTGGATTGTGTAGAAAAATGACTGAACCAAACAAACAGTGTGGAGAGGGAGAAAAGTCAAAGAATGAAGTGGATGACGAATTTATTGCGTCAGACTAGAGTGCAGTAACGCCTCCGCCCTCGACCTTGAAATGACAACCAGTGAAAGAGCCAGTAAATCGTCTAGAGTGTGGCTTGAAAATTCACAAAATGGTCCATGTTCCTCCCAGTAACAATAAAAAGAATGGTGCCCTGAGAAAATGTCGCGTGAGTGCTAAGCACAAGGTTAGAAAAGAAACAAGTATCATGTGTGAAGGCTGTGGTGTGGCTCTCTGCAAACTTTCATGTTTTAATGTTTATCGCACGAAGAAAAACTAATAAAGAGGTATGGAAAGGCATTTATTGCATAAAATATTGTATTTTAATTAGTTCCTGATAATTTCGTTTTTAAAAACCAATTTTTGTTGAAGTTATTTAGGAAAAAGTAACTACATGCATTTTAGCGACATAAGGTTTAAAGGGCCTGCCAGGACAGGGGTGGGATTTAAATACCCTTCGCGCCAGTCAAAGAGTTAATAGTGATGATATAAATGAGGCACTTATTAACTTGGCTGTAATTCCGTCATATCCACAGGCTAATTTAGGTTTCATTAACCTTATTATTTTTTCTATTTCATTATGTTTTGTTTCTTTCGATACCATTTGTTGAAAGGGTTGCCAAAAGGTCTCTAGTCTATTACCATATCCTTATTTATCCCCTCTTTTGTGACATTAGCCACATCTAGCCTTAACTTTTGGAATTCTTAAGAAAGTCTTTGAAGTCAGTGGTCCACTCCTATTCCACGAGCTGACTCAGTTTGATGGAAAATGAAGCATGTCTGCTTTTAGCCATTCACTGTTTCAACTAACTGATTCAGTTATATTTCACTCTTGATGAAACTCTAATTACAAAACCTAACCAAATTCCAACCTAGCATGTGATGAGGAATCATAGTTCAGCTTATTAATCCATACTTAATTTTCAGATAATGTAATTTCCATTTCAGGCCTTGCCTTGGAGTATGTTCAAGGGGGAAAAACAAGAACAAAGATGTTTGATCTTTTAAACCTTTCTTCAAGGTAAAATATATGGCATTAGACAACACTAGCCCAGTAGTTTTCAGTCTTACTGGCAGACTGTGGATTGTGTCTATTTCACAGAGAGGTCATAGTGGCTGATATACAGTTAGTGAGTTTAACAATCAAGTTCCTTCCGTCAAATGTGACACTTTTTTAAGTTTTCCACCTCGTCAGCACCTGCCTTACATGTTTCGGCTCACCACGGAGCCATCATCAGAGGCATTTATAGTAGAAAAAGAAATCACCAACACACAAAACTTCACTTTGTCCAAGATAGCCACGTTCCAGTTAATTAAAATAATTACAAATAGTTAAAATTACCCAGANAGGCAGGTGCTGACGAGGTGGAAAACTTAAAAAAGTGTCACATTTGACGGAAGGAACTTGATTGTTAATTGGTTAGTGTGACGGACCAGAATGAAAGACCTTAAAGTTAGTGAGTTTGTTATATCATATGCACAGGCTACTGGGTATTCAGAACTGACATACTGCAAATTTAAATTTAATTTTCTGTGACAGAGGTGCTTTAACATGAATGAAAAAGGAGAGGCTAGGTTTACAACCTAGCATAGGCTACAGTTTGTAACAGAAGCCATGAGAGATTGAAGAATAAATGCTAGACCCATTTGTTGCTGACAACAGCAGAAGAAGTTTGATCCTGGAACATGACCCCCTGTAAACTGCATACACATGGAACGTACCTTATCTTGTGTTATATATGTGGTATATTTGAAAGAGCCACACTGAATACTATTTAAAAAAAAAAAGAACCTTACTATGGACAACCGTTCCACTGTCGGCTTTAATGGTAATATATTTCAATACAGAGTTACAGGCCACTGAAACCTAAGGGTTCATTTTTGGCTTCCTTGTATATCCATGGACAGAACTTATATTTACTTATACATTTTTTCCTGCAGGACTAATGTCAATGAATTGGCAGCATCCATAGCAGCGGACGAGCCTCTAGTTACTCCCAATGTGATTCCTCAACTTGCTGAGTCACTTGCTAAGCTCCAGACAAAGATCAGCAATGCAAATAACCATCGGTTTCATAAGTACAAGACTCTCAAGACACATCTGCTGCCACTGACTAATGTTGCATTTGATAGGAGAGGAAAACGGTACTTTTGATCTCAGTTACATTTGATTGTTTGGGTAAAAGCTATCACTGCTTTTCTACTTCTCAAACATGGGTATATAGTTCCTTGTGAGCATGTGCAAAGGATTATATTCATGTGATGGCTCAATCCCCAGACATTACCACTTAGCTTATCTTGGCAAGTGGTGTTTATTTTCAGCTCCCTAATTTATTCTGAGAAGTAATCTTTTGTCAGTTGTTTAAAGTGTATGTTCCAAGTTTCACATTCACCCATGTTTCAACTGCCCTTAACAGAAATTGAAAATGCTCGGCATGTTTGGGACATACTTCGTTTAAATGTCAGCTAGGCTACTAGTTGTCCAGACCAAGGCATTTAATGGAATTCTTTGGAACTTTGTACGGAGACAGCTCATGAACTTGCTAATAATTCTGTATGGAACATATATGACATATAAAAAATGACAAACATGGTGATGGTGCAAAACCTTTGGGTTATGTATAGTAAATTTAATGAACAGAAATGGGTCATTAACTTCTACTTCTGCCAACCTGACTACATAGACTCAAATATGAAATATCAGAAATAAGTAAAATAAAAGTAAAGCAAAGCTATCCCTGTAACAGGCCATGAAGGCCCATAGGGTTGTGAGACGTTAAGGGTCCCACACTATCTAGACAATGGGTTCAGAGATGGCGGTAAGGTTGTCAGCCTTACGAGCCGGCCGCGCTCTACTCCACAGGAAAATAATTTATTTAATTCCTGGTACTCATTTCTGTTAGAGGCTGAGTGAACCCCAGGGCCATAGTGCTGCCGGAAGGATTAGGTCAATTGAAAAAAATCCAATGACCTCATCTGTATTTGAACCCACGACCTTCCGACTTGTAGCATAGTGTCTTAACCACTATGCTACAACGGCCATACCATGTTGAAAACGCCGGTTCTCGTCCGATCGGAAATAAGTAGGAATAGTAAATTTTTCCCAGAACTTCTTGTGTGTATGTACACAATAAACTGGTTCTATTTCAGCTGTATCACTGGGAGTTATGATCGTACTTGCAAACTTTGGGATATCGACTTTGGCAAAGAACTCGTCACCCTGGAAGGTCACAAAAATGTAGTTTATGCTGTAGCATTCAACAGTCCATGTGAGTAAGTACAAATCATGGATGAAAATCATACAACCTTCAAGATACCAGACAGGATACCCTCAGCATAACTGAACCAGACTAATTTCCAAGGTCTTGAAAAGTTACAAAATATTGTCAAGTGTAGGGTACTACACATATTGAGAATGATGATTTATTAGAATGTTGGTTATAATCTCTCTTAATCACACTTAAATACAGCACTACTGCTGATTTATACACACACTGGTCCTATCCTGGTACAACTAAAACAGAGGAACTATAAAAGTCTCATTAAATCACATCTCCCAATCAACACTACACTAAAGCACACCTAAAGTCTTCAAATCACACTTTAAATCTTCAGAGGTCTTCTATGAACTTCCCGTGGCTGTCTCCTACCAAGAAATCAGAACTCAGAACTCTGTCACTTTTAGTTCCAATTTGCTTTCTCACATGCTTCTGAGCCTACTGTTTCTCTCTGGCAGCTCAGTAATTGTGCTAACTTATATAGCCGAGGGACAGATATCGACCAACAAGACCAACAATAAACACATATCATGTGACGCCCCCCCATTGTTCCTCTGTGACATCACCACATGTCCGCAAACTGATGGACATGCAGGAAACACAAGTCATGTAACAGTCACCTATTATTGATGTGTGACATCACCACTCCTGTGCCAGCTGCCATACACACAAAAAACGCAGCTTGCCCAACTGTTGCATGCACATTCGTATTTAGAGATGTTGCCTGGCAAAGCGTTGATCAACTATGCCACAGTATAGAAATTAACTAACAGGAAAGATTAATAAATGAAAGGAAAAATACTTAATTACTCAGGAGGAAATATACTGTATATTCATCAAGTGATAGCTGAAAATTTAAAAGCATATAATATGGAATAGTGACTGGATGACACAAAATTTAAAACCACAGTATCTGAATGAGTAACAGAATTGACCAAAAAAGTTTGTATGTGTATACTTACAGCTTCATTCAATTATTCTGGTGATGATGACAAGATAATTTATAAATCTGTTAGAATTAAATGAAACACTATATACGAAACAAGAAATTCAGCAACTTGGTACACAATTGCCATAGTATACGTGATCATGCATACTATGTGATAAGTTTTCTACTGTCATTGCTAAAACTTCAGTTCTTTTACTAATTGTTCAAATTTGTGCATCTGGCCTATATGTTCCCATCAAAAAAAAAAAAACTCCGTGATTTTAGTCTGAAAGCGAACTATACCAACTGAGCAACCGCCGCTTGGCAGCAAAGTTCAGTGTCAACTTTTGCAGATAGAGTGTGTCACGCGATCAGCACAACGAATCCCCACGGCCGTTAATTTCGGTTTTCTACACTGGAGCGTCTATTTGCTTGAAACAGCTCCTCAATTATCATCATGAGGCTGAATGAACCTTGTTCCAGACCCACTACTTCTCAGAAAAAATCTGGTAGCGCCGGGAATCGAACCCGGACCACTGGATCTGTAGCCAAGAACACTGACTACATCATATGTTCCCATTTCTAATATAAAATAACTTTATACATGGACAAATACCGTCTTAAGTGCAACAATTTTATTGTAGTTTTTACTTCTTTTTCCTCCTCCACACTACACGTTTCGGCCCTAAATGGCCATCATCAGGTGTGTATTACTCACGTAGCTGTTACACTGCTTGTTAAAATTTAAAATCACCAGTCTTTCTAATTCTATAAAATCTTTGTTAATCTACACGCGTCGATTTGATTTTTAAATTTGCACACACATAGAAACATACAATCCCATATTTCAAACTATATACAAAATCTATACAGACTAACGGTACCTCCCTCCCCCCACTACCCATTCCCCATCCAACACTCACGAACATAAAACACAGCACACAGTACACCAGACAGCAAACGTATTAAAGATAAGCAGCGACACACACAGAGTGAGCACAAATAACAGTATAAATATATAAGAATAACATAACATAACATAACATAAGATAGTAACACGAATATTTGTATATTACAGACAACACATGAACAGCGATAAAAACAAGAAGTGGCCGCTGCAGCACCGTAGATATAGGGCATGTACCCTGAAAAATTTTAATTAAAAATTTGAAAAAGAAAGAGAACAGAGATCTTATATACATTTTAACTTGAATTAAAGTTTTAAAAAGTGCAAATTTAAAAATCAAATCGACGCGTGTAGATTAACAAAGATTTTATACAATTAGAAAGACTGGTGATTTTAAATTTTAACAAGCAGTGTAACAGCTACGTGAGTAATACACACCTGATGATGGCCATTTAGGGCTGAAACATGTAGTGTGGAGGAGGAAAAAGAAGTAAAAACTACAATAAAATTGTTGCACTTAAGACGGTATTTGTCCATGTATATTGTGTGAGTGTAACAGGATGCTGAAATATAATATTACAAAATAACTTTCCTTAACAAATATAGAATATATATCTTCAAGACTGTGTAACCAAAATAGTATTCATATCAATTAATTTTAAACATTATTCCCACAGCGACAAGATATTGACAGCCTCTTTTGATAAAACTGCTCGCTTGTGGTCAGCTGAGACAGGTGAATGCTACAACACTTTGTGGGGTCACACAGCAGAGGTGGTCACAGTTCAGTTCAACCCCCGAAGGCTTCTGGTGGGCACTGGCTCCATGGATTTCACTGCCAGACTTTATCATATTGCCACAGGTGGGCATCATATAACCATTTTCTTTTGATGTTTCGACTTTCACAAGTAATATGGGTGAGATAAACCCTTTTCCACTCTGCTATCTACCTGCACATATTTCTCTTCACCTTGATTTTAGTTTTATACTTCTGTTTTCAACTTCTTTCATTCTTTTATACTTCCTTTATGTCTTGCCCTTCCTGTAGGTCTTTTATTATTTGTTTTCAGTTCTCAAACAGTTACTATTCCACTCCCATGTGATCAAACCACTGTAGTACTCTTTCTTAGTTTCATTTCTAAAAATATCCACTATATTTTGCACATTACTGCATTTATAACATTCTCATTTTAATGTCAGTTCCTGTATGAATATCAACAACACTGCAGGAATACAGATGACTCATATCTTTCTTGTGGTATGTCTATCTTTCTTACCTGTATAACCAAATGGGCAGAAAATTGCTTTTATGATGATCATCAGTCATTAATCATGATTAAAGGACATGTACATTCGGGCAAATTTATTTTCCCATCGAGTAAAGAGTCATCAAAAAACTTATCTAAATTGGTCCTTCAAATCTATCATNCCCAACAAGATCACAAAATGGCTCTGCAACTGCAATAGATAATGTAATTATTGATGCGACTCTGCAGGGGAATTATGTAATACATCCCTTATGTAATGGGCTTTCTGATCATGATGCCCAATTGTTTTAAGAGAAGTTAAAGCTTTTATTAAGAATGGGAGTGTCAGGGGGAAAAAATAAGGAAAATTGATCAGGCTACTGAGTTGGATTTCAAATATAAGCTGAGTTTCAAAACTTTGGACTCAGTCTTTGGTGCTAACGACGTAAATACAACGTATAATTCTTTTCTTAACTTATTTCCCAGAATAGTCTATTCAAGTTTTCCTCTAAAAGAACAGATAATTAAATCCAATAATAATTCATAAATTACCCTTGACATAAGTATCTCCTGTAGGCATAAAAGAGATCTTTACTTATTATGCAGGAATAGTAATGAGGAGGCCTTGAAGAATCATTATAGACAGCATTGTAAGATACTAAAATCGTTATAAGGTATGCTAAAAGAAAGCATTATAATAAACAGGTATTAAATTCTGGTAATAAAATAAGAACTGTCTGGGACATTACAAAACTATTAACTTGGAAGTTATCCAAAGTAGACACAATTCAAGAATTAAAAGTAAATGGAGAGGGTATTACTAATAGACGAGATATAGCAGATTTCTTGAATAGTTTCTTCATTTGTATTTGAAAATAATATAAATACAAAGTTTTAAAATTAATAATAAACCATTAGATTACTTGCGACAAGCTTCTAACCATCCTTTCCCTAGTATAAAATACCATGCCGTAACGTCTACTGAGATATCTAAAATTATTAAATCTCTAATAACAAAAGGATCTCACAGCTATGACGAAATATCAGTTAAAAGTTCTAAAAATTAGTTCTCCATTCATTATTTCTTCACTAACTTATATTAGCATTAAAATGCTACCTTCTGATATTTTTCCCGATAGGCTAAAATATGCTGAGATTAAGCCTCTGTTTAAGGGTGGTCATAAAAATGATCCTACTAATTATAGATAGATTTCCTTTTTAACTTCCTTTTCAAAAATCTTTGAGAGGATTATATTAGCCAGACTGAATCAGCATGTCTATGACCACAATATTATAGTTAATGAACAATTTGGTTTTAGACCTCAATCTTCAACTATTAGAGCTTCCTACGTATTAATTAATGAAATATTAGAAGCATTATATAAGCAAAAAATCGTAGGTGGTATTTTCGGCGACTCAAAAAAGTCTTTTGATAGTGTTAATCATGGGATTTTATTGAACAAACTTCAATTTTATGGAATAGATGGTAAATTTCGTGACTTAATTACATCCTATTTATCTGATAGATATCAGAGAGTTTTAATATCAAGCGCCGACTTAAGTTACGTTGGTACCTCCAGTTGGGATATTGTAAGGCATGGTGTCCCACAGGGGTCCAATCTTGGTCCACTTTTTTCTCTTTTATATAAATGATCTACCTAAAATTTTTAATAACTCAGTCAAATCAGTTTTATTTGCAGATGATACAAGTTTAGTTATTAGTAGTTACAATAGTATACAATACAGAAATGATGTTGATATTTCCTTTGCTTATCTTAATGATTGGTTTATTTCCAATTTATTAACTCTAAATTTTAACAAAACTAAACATATAGACTTGAAAGGATTCTGACGATGGTGTATACTGTACTTCTTTTGGACTTCACCCATTGTCTTTTACATACCAGACGATTGGTGAAGTCCAAAATAAGCCAAAAGAAGTAAAACTAAACATGTTCAATTTAAGATAAAGCCAAGTTCTAATAGTGTAATTTCTGTTAATTATCATAATAATGTGATTTTAAGCAGTACAAATGTGAAATTTTTGGGATTAGCTATTGAAAGCTCATATATCCCAACTCGTGTCAAAATTGTGCAAGGCTTGTTACTCAATGAGGGTGATCAAGCCCATTATGCCCACATAGACATTAAAAATGGTATATTACTCTTATTTCCATTCACTTTTGTCCTATGGAATTATTTTTTGGGGCACATTTTCACAATTCAAAAGATAATAATTAGAACCATGAGTGGGTTGAGATCTAGGGACTCTTGTAGAGATGCATTTAGGGATTGGGGAATTTTGCCATTGCAGTCCCAATACATATTTTCTTTATTAATGTTTGTTGTGAATAATATGGGTTTATATCACACGACATCACAAATTCATGGCCTTAATACTAGGCGTAATTTTGATCTTTATTGCCCTCACACAAATTTGACAACTTACCAGAGAGGACCTTATTATTTTGGTATTAAACTTTATAATCACCTTCCTCTAAATATAAAAGAGTTAATTCATAATATTAAGCAAGTTAGAGCAGCTTTAAGTGCTTTTTTACATACTAAATCCTATTAAACTTTAGATGAATATTTGAATTAGGGATAGTTTCTTGTTTAGCTATGACCCATTATTTGATCTATTGTCGTGTATAGTGTGACGTGTTGCGCTATGCAGGACACCCCTCCCCCTGCCAGCGGTGACATAACACCATCAGACTGCTGTCGTTACTAAGGTAGCAGGCAAGTCAACACCCCTTCCCCTATCCCGCCAGCGGTGATGTGGCCAAGGGATACCACGGTTGCTATGCAGCCGTAAACAACTCCCGATAGCATTGCCAGTAACACCTGTAACCATGGCGCCAGACAACAGTGGTGCCCATTACGTGGCTGTTTTCTGTGTTGTCCGGAACGAGGCTAAATAAGGAGCAGCGAAGACTATTCACAGTTAGCTCTCAAGTTCTGAGTTACGGACGCGTGTGTGAGAATCGGTGATAGTTCGTGATAACCGAGTAATAATTGGGAGTGTGTGATACAGTTGCACTTCTATAACTCCCACGTTATAAAAATGTGGAGACTACTGACAATAGAGTGAACGGAATACTGAATAGGGTTTGTACATTGTGAAAACCCATAACAGTGTTATAATTAAATGTAGCCAAGACTTGTAGGTTGTTAAATAAACCAATTAACAATCCGGACGTTGTCTTCAGTAACTAAACACGTTACAATATGTTCCAATTTTGTATTATATTTTATATACACATGGTAGGTTATGTAGTTGCAGTATGTGTAGGGTTTCATATGCTTGATTTATTGTTGTGGATTTATGTGCATTGTTCTGTTGGCTACTTGCTGATTTAGCAAGCTTGTGGTGTGACAGGTTCTGTAACCAATGGCTTCGGCCTTGTATGGAAGTGCTGGAACGTGTAATAAATACAATACAATACAATACAATCAACGCTCCCATACAGGCTTACTTGGTCTGTGGTGGATACTTCAGAATATAATCTTCCTATTGTCTGTAAAGAACCTTCTACTTATTCTATGCTATTCAATTGTGACGGGTTGCTCGAAGCAACCAGAGAAACCCATGTAATGTGGTCAACAATGGAACTTTGGTTACTTAGTAGCAAAGGTCTCGATAATCATGACAACAGAGGAACTACTGAAGATGTCTCTTAGGCAACAGATACAGAAACGGGCACTTACATCGGAGACGCAAAAAAAAACAAACTCTCAAGGAGATGATCTCCATACAGTTCAACCAGAACCTACCTCAGGGAGAGAACTGACCAAAAGAAGACAGAATATGACAGAGGAATACAGAAGGATAAAGAAGAGAAAACTAGAAGGTAGTGCAAGATCCATACAACAGTGAGAGATTCATTATCCAGAAGGAGTCAAATGTGTGAACTGTTGTAACCAAGTGAATTTGTAATACAGACACCTAATAAATGTAATCAATCAAATCTAGCAGGCAAATCTCTGTACCTACATCATTTTCCAAAATTTTTGGAAAAGTTATTTTTAATAGACTTCACACACACATATCTGATAACAACATCTTAGCTGCTGAGCAGTATGGATTCAGGAAAAATAGCTCTATGGAAACTGCTACATTTAATTTAATTAATAATATATTGCAGGCACTTAATGCTAAAAAAAATGGTTTATATTTACATTTACATTTATTTTTCACTTCATGGATCCAATCANCAATCTCTGTACCTACATCATTTTCCAAAATTTTTGAAAAAGTTATTTTTAATAGACCTCACACACACATATCTGATAACATCTTAGCTGCTGAGCAGTATGGATTCAGGAAAAATAGCTCTATGGAAACTGCTACATTTAATTTAATTAATAATATATTGCAGGCACTTAATGCTAAAAAAAATGGTTTATATTTACATTTACATTTATTTTTCACTTCATGGATCCAATCATCTCCCCGTAGGGCTGGATATAAAACATGTCACATATTACGAATTCATGATTACACATCAGTCGTCCTTGGTCCAATAAAATATATAATCAGGCCTCACACAGATAGCTCAAGTTGTCAGGACAACACACATGGGGCGTGGAAAAACCGTCAAATTCACACCTTGCCATTCAACACACACTGGCAAGCCATATCATCCAAACAGTTACATTATAAAATATTAAATTTCATAACAAAAACAGACATCATACATACTACTACACTTACAACAAGCAAGTCTCAATGATGTATAATTCACACACACAGACCATTTATTAACTCCTAACTTTTGAGCCCCTTGCATTATCAACAAATTAATCAATAGAGTAAAATGCGTTACTTTGCAAATAATTTTGTAAAACAAACCTAAATTGCTTTTTATCATTTTTTAAAACTGTGATATCTGACAGAAGAGTATTAAATAGCTTGATGCCTGAATAATACACCCCTCTCTGATAGAACGATAAATGTGTTGAAGGTATATGAAGGTGGTCATTCCTTCTGGTACCAGTGACATATACAGAGTTATTGGTTTGAAACTTATCCAGATTATTAACAACAAATATCATCAATGAGAGCAAATATACACATGGGATTGGCAGTATGTCAAGCTTTTTAAATAAATCTCTACATGTATGAGTTGGGCCCACTCCCATCATTATTCTTATTATTTTCTTTTGTATAACAAAGACCTTATGACTGTCTGATGTATTTCCCCAATATTGCATATTTCACCAATGAATGATAATATGCATAATATACAGCTTTAAGACTATTTATATTTGATATATAGGATAATTTTCACTAGAAAACCAACTGTGCTCAACTTGTGAAGCAAAAAATTGATATGTCCCTTACAAGTCAGATGATTGTCCAGCTGCAAACCGAGAAATTTTATCGTTTCTGCTTCTTTCACCTTTATGTTAAAAAACAGTGTATATAGAGGGTAGCTCGTAGCTGATGATGGGGTGAAATGGTGCCATCTTTAGTGACCTGACCAAGGCATTTGATAACGTAAATCATGAATTATTACTCACGAAGCTGGATTTTTATGGTGTATGAGGAAGATTTTTTAAATTGATTGCATCTTATTTAAATAATAGATACCAAAGAGTAGTAATAAAAGATAAATCATCTATTAAATGCTTCTCAGACTGGGTATCTGATACCAAGACTCTTTTGGGTATGACAAGATCTCCAGTAGAATAATAAAACAAAGTGCTTCATTTATAATTTCTCCTTTGACATATATTTGTAATGCAATCCTGCATTCTGGTGTATTTCCAGAAAGATTAAAATTTGCCATAATCAAACGTTGCTTTAAGAAAGGTTACACATGAGAAGTTTCCAACTACAGGCCTATATCACTGTTAACTTCCTTCTCAAAAATTATAGAAAAACTTATGTATTCGAGGCTAATCACTCATATTGAAGCAAACAGTATCTTGGCCCTCGAACAATATGGATTTAGGACACGCTCCTCTACGGAGAAGGCAGCATTTTCATTGATTAACAGTATCTCCACAGCTATGAGTAATAAGCAAATTGTGGGAAGCATTTTTTGTGACATACAAAAGGCAATTGATTGTGTAAACCATGGAATTCTATTGGATAAACTTGAATTTTATGGAGTAAATGGTATTTTTAAAACATTAATTGAATCTTATTTGACTGACAGACAGCAAAGAGTTGCTCTGGGCCATACAACTGATAGTGATAATTCATCTAGATGGGAGAAAGTAAAATATGGAGTACCACAGGGCTCGATTCTTGGTCCTGTGCTTTTCTTGCTACATATAAATGATCTTCCCAAAACGATAAATACAGATAATAGCATGGTATTATTAGCAGATGATACTAGTATCATAATAACAGAACCCAATAAATTAAGCTATAAAATAAATCTTAACCAAACTTTTAAAGATATAAACACCTGGTTTAAGGCTAATTTACTTAAACTAAATTTCAATAAAACTCAATATATGGAGTTTAGAACCACGAAACGCTACGATACAGAGACCTACATCAGTTATGAACAGAAAAGTATTCCAAGTGCAACAGTAACTAACTTCCTTGGTTTAACTATTGATGATGTTTTATCTTGGCAACAGCATATAAATCTGATGATCAATAGACTAACTTCTACATGTTAAGAACTGCACAACATTACATACATAGTTACCTTTCCAACACTAAGGCTAATCTACTTTGCCTATGTTCACTCTATCATGAGTTATGGCATAATTTTCTGGGGTAACTCCTCTCGTGCCAAGAAAGTGTTTGTCTTATAAAAGAAAATCATTAGAACCATAACAAACACTAAACCTAGGAATTCTTGTAGGAATATCTTTAATTGGAAATAATGACATTATATTCACTATATATATATATATANTTATTGAATTGTATATAGTATTATGATTTAGTTTTTACAATATGACTGTGACAATGATAACTATTTACCTGCACTAGCTATTACAGTACATAAAGTAATCTGACATGTTCTACATCCTAAGCACATTGTGACCAGAAAGGATTCATGGAATTTTAAAATGAACGAACGAAACGAAACGAACGAAATGAACGAAACTAATGAACGAACGAACGAATGAATGGACTGTACCTTGCTGCCCATATGCTGAAATAACATTTTTCTTAGCAATGCTAAGATATGTTTTTGACTTACCTATGAAATGAAGACAATACAAATTAATCTATTCTTATCATAACTATTGAAAGTGACAGAAATTACAGCCAAAAATCCAAATGAAAAGAGTTTGAATGAAATTTTTATATCTACTTGACAGGACAAGAAGTGGCAACATTACGTGGGCACACAGGAGAAGTAATTGCTTTGCAGTTCTCCAGTGATGGCAACCAGATAATCACTGGTTCATTTGATCATTCTATCAGCGTCTGGGATACCCGCACAGCAAAGTAAAATGCACAGTTTATTCTAATATTTAATTACTATGCAAGGTTATGGTTCCCCACAAAGGGAATCTAAATGCCACAAGATAATGCCAATTCTGTATATCACATCCAATCGGCTGTAACTCATAAATCATGCAAGTTTTCTGTACACACATGAAGCTGGCACTCTCCTGAATGACACTTAACATTATCTGTATGTATCTTAAATTGATAAGAATTATAACTGTGTACAAACAAACAGATGTTATTCTAGGGATTTGGAAATAGTTACTAGGAAAGGGTCCAAACTGGGTCACAGTGGTTTACCTGTGATGTGCACAATTATGGGTGGCACAACAGACAAACTACACTCTCTCTGCTTCCTTTGACAAATACCTCTTATATGTATCTTTATATGAGAGCTGAGGTTTTTACAGTAATGAAGATTTGGTCTGCTGTCTTTTGGGTTACTACACCATGTACTACTCTGTCCAAAAAGTATCCGACTTTGGGCCGGGAAAAAGAAGTTCTGTATCTGGGTGTTACAATACCTAATCACCTTCAAAGTAGGCCCCTTGTGACTCCACACACTTAGCCCAGCGGTCCTTCCATCGCTGGAAGCAATGCTGGAAGGCTTCTTTTGGAATAGCGTGCAGCTGCGCCATCGCGTTCTGTATGATGTCCTCATGGCTGTCGAAACAGCAGCCTTTTAGCGGTGTCTTCAATCTCGAGAACAGCCAGAAATCACAAGGAGCCATGTCAGGAGAGTAGGGAGCCTGGTGAACCTGCGAAATGCTGTGCTTGGCCAGGAAACCCTGGATCAGGTGCAATGAATGAGCTGGGGCATTGTCATGATGCAGCTGCCAGTTGCGTGCGTCCCACGGCTCCGGTCTCTTGCGCCGAACCGCATCACAAAGATGGCAGAGGACTTCTTGGTAGTATTCCTTATTGACATTCTGGCCAAGTGGTGCGTACTCATGATGCAAAACACCCCAGTAATCGAAAAAAACAGTCAGTATCACCTTCACATTGCTCCGAACCTGTTGTGCTCTTTCGGGCCTCGGGGATCTTGGATGTTTCCATTGTGGTGATGCCTAGACCTTGGTTTCTGGGTCATATCCATACACCCACAACTCGTCACCAATGATCACAGTCTTCAGGAATTCAGGATCCCTGTTGACGCACTCCAGCATGTCCTGCGCGACCTCAAGGCGGAGTTGTTGCTGCTCCGGCGAAAGCAGCTTGGGCACAAATTTTGTCGCCACTCTTCGCATGCCCAAATCCTCAGTTAAAATTTTGTTTGCGGAACCTCTGCTGATCCCAACCTCATCAGCAACTTCACAGATGGCCAAATGATGGTCCTCCATGATCAGTGTCCACACTTTTTCAATGACATCAGCATTTCGGCTCACTGACGGTCTCCTGGAATGCTGGTCACCGTCCGCCGACATACGGTCACATTTAAAGGGGTTGAACCACTTTTTAATTTTAGTGACCCCCAGTGCATCATGGCCAAAATCCTGCTGAATTTTGCGGATCGTTTCCGCTTGGGTATCCCCAAGTTTCTGACAAAACTTAATGCAGTATCGCTGCTCCAAGCGTTCTGTCATCTTGAGCGAAATGAGAATGCGACGAACATGTGTTACACCACTTTGTTATCTGGCAGCCACAGATGCATCCGGCAGTGTTGCAAGTCAGAAAAAAATCACACATACGCATGAAAGTCCCTTCTACCACTATGCTCAGTTTCCCTGCCCCTTTGGCCATTACTTATGGCAGAAAAAAATAAAGTCGGATACTTTTTGGACATACGGTATAGTCTGGTTCTTATGGGGTTACCACCTACATGGATATGAAGGCAGCATGTTCTTCCAAAGCACTGATAACAATGTACTGGGCTACATATACATGCTGGAAAAGGAGGACACTTCTCTTAATGTGAGAGACTAATGTATATAATGTATGAAAGTGATGAGCCCTTAAAAAAAAAAACTGGGCCCTGCACTGTGATCTTCAATGATCAATTGTGCTTATGTGAGAGACTAAGTTCCACAGCCATACGAAATTAAGATCTAAATGTTTCTGATGATGGACATTAGAGAATGCCCAGAAACATAATATGTGTACCATATAAAAACGTTCATCTTCTTTATAGCAAATATATTTAGAGTTCTACCAATCAAACACCTGTCAGTACACAGTTTGAGTTTAATCTATGGAATGGAATTAATTTACTTTATTGTGTCCCCAATTTTATTAAATATATTTACTTTGTAATTTATTCTTTCATTTGTGTCTATTCCTTGCACTTATAGTTTTCAAATACTCATACCTATGCTATATTCAACCATTTTCAGTAAATTGGGCAGTAACAGTTTTTCAGAACCTAATACTAAAATTGTGTTAAAAATGTAGATTAACTGGTTGTAATATTAAAAAAGAATCAATTGATCAGCTTAAGCTGACAGCAATGTTGCCACACCTTGTTGCACAACCTATAATAAATTCAACTTTTCCATGAAACTTTGGTGGTATAAGTACCACAGTATGAAAAACTCTGGTCTACATAAACAGATAATAAATTATCTTCCTGTCTCTTCAAGGATTCCAATCTCATAATGTGTTGGCACGCTCAGGACTAAAAGGTGGCTGACCAAGGAGAACTCCTAATATTGAGATGCCAACTGGGTATGACACACTCAAAGTTCTTCATTCAACAGCCTATGGAAACACTTTCTAGAGATCTACTGGCCTATGCCAGTGCCCATTTTTAGCTGGGCATAAAATGAAGATCTTTGGTTCTGCTTGGCTGGAACCGACAGACATTAGTAGAGCCTGAATCAAACACGTTCTGACTCTAGCATTGAGGATACAGCTCATTTGAAAAGCCCTAGTAAAAACAGAGGTGTACAGTATAACAAATAATGGTCTGAGTGTAACACTCTTCATGTGTTCTGATATTTTTAGGTAAAAAATAAAGTTTACTGTCCTATTCAAACTCAAATTTTCTGTGAGTTCTTAAAAACAAATACACTCTAACAGCATTCCTTATCACCTACTCTTATAGTGTTATATTAAACTACACCTAGCACAAACTACTGAAATATATTTTTATGTACTAGTCACCCTACTTAAGCAGGTTATAACTATATGAACAGTGAAAGTTTAGTTCCATATTACTAACAGATGCAAACTTTATTTTGTATATTTAGACGTGCAGTGCATCTGATACTTGTAATTTAATTTCTTGTACTGTCTGCAGAAGAGTAGGTATCCTTAGTGGTCACTCAGAAGAAATTAGTAACTGCTTGTTCAACCACGACTGTACGCTTATAGCTAGTAGCTCCATGGACAAAACAGCAAAGGTGTGGGACCAACGTACCTCCTCCAGTCTGGCTACCATTATGGGACACAATGATGAGGTGGGTAAGTCAAACAAAAGTATTAAAATATCATAATCACTGTCATCGTCATCATCCTCATCCTCGTTGAAAAAACGGCCCTTTTTGAGCCACAACTTTCTTTAAAAAATCTGCCAGACTTGTATTCAATTAGATCATTCAGTTTTCACTTCTTTGAATTTTGCTACAGTAATTTCTTTACAGAGCATGGTAGTCAGCCTTGCATTCAACCCCCAAAGTGAAGGACCGGGTATCTATATTTATGCCCCTCAATGACATAATGGCCCAGTTACACCCCACAGGAACCAGGTTCCCTTTTCATTGCCTTCTATGACTCACAGGGCTATGGTGGAGGTACTCTAACCTGCCTCCAAACAGGGCAGATGAAGCATAATTTTACCTTTCTTTTTATGGGATTGATATCTGGTATCTCAAAATTAACGGAAAACATACACTGAGGATGTTTGAGAACAGGGTAGTGAGGAGAATATATGGACCCATGAGGAAGTAACAGGAGGTAAGAGAAAACTACACAATGAGGAGCTATATAATTTGTGCTCTCCACCAAATATTATTAACAGGAAGGTGTGTCAATGGATTTTTCAGTTCAGGTAAGAATCTGAAATATAGCAGTTCTGTCAATCACACAGCTATATATTCTCCTAATCATATTGCTGAAATTCTGTTCCAGAATCAATTTTTCTTTTTTATGTTTTATAACCTCCATAACCTATAGTTATTAGAAAGTAAGCCAGGGGTAAGAAAATTATGGTTCAACAGTTAGATGCAGCAAATAAAAACTGGGTAGCCCACAGGGGAATTTTAAGTACCAAAAATCAACTAGATAAATTTCACACAGTGGGCCTATTACTGAAATGGCCGCACCATGAAGCTGTGTGTATTAACTTACCGCTAATGTATTATCGGAAATAAGTATCGAGAATTGTGTGTTCTTTTCAATAAGCCGTCATATTGAAGCTCTTGAAACATTTTATTCGGCCAAGCAGGAGGATGATGAAACTGCAACTGTAACTGAAGTGAGTGAAGTAAATGCTCGAAGTCTAATAACAGGGGATGAACCCCCAAACAGTCCTTGGGATGATGTAAAATGTGAATTTTGCCAGGTTAAACTTTCTGCAGTGCAAGAACTAAAACTTTTAGTGTTTGCACACAGCTTGTATAGCAGGTAGTGCTAATAACGCTACAGTTTTAGCTACTAATAATAGTGAATCAAGTGAAGTTACATGTAGTTGTTGTGATAAACTTAAAATAGAATTAGAAAAAACTCTAATTGAACTTAAATCTAAGCAAAAAGTTGTTGAATTGCTGCAAAAAGAAATAAAGTTTAATATGTATCACCAGACAGGTGGAACAGATGCAAACTATCTGCAGTGAAATGAGGGTTCCACACAATTGGAAGGCAATGGGAGATGGCCTGTTGAAAGGCCAAAACGTCAGAAGACGAACCAGAACCCTCATATTGAAGCTCTTGAAACATTTTCAACAGATATACTGTCACTATCGCAAATACTGTGATATGTGCAACGAAAGTCAATTATTGGCTGATGAACCATCATGTCGGACAGACAGGTGACAGAAACACAGCAGCTGGCTATGTCCAAAAAGTACTTCTCCTGAAGTATGGTACACCTTTGCCACCCAACATAGTTCAAGCTGTACACATGCTGGGACACTATGCCAGCACAAGGTTTATCTTAACTAAGGCTGGCATACTAAATATCCTTGAAACCGAAAGTTGGGTCAGTGCCGACGTATATGAAATTAGGTTTGCAGACGATGCCAAGCTTCGCTTCAATGCCCCACCTGCAGGCACTCATAGGTTCGAAGTCTGTCATGAGGCGGCAAGATGACTCTCAAAATATCAATTCTCACATTTCTGTCTGGATATTTCAGATTTCATGGTTCTTCCTAAGAGGATGTCCAGCATCATGAGAAATCCAGCCAGGTTCCGTGTAGGTGCCCTCTACATGACCAGAGGCAAGGACACTGTCTTTATGGACAATATTTTTGACAATTTCATTGGTAGGTTGGGCACCTTCATTCAGATAATGGCACCAAAGTCTACACTTTGCGGAAGTGCACATTTTGCACCAACCAAAGTTGAAAGTGCACCAGATTTTGATGTCACCTGGCGAAACATCCTAACCCAAATCCATCGAACCAGAGAGGCTGTTAATGCCCAGCAGCTCTCTGTGGAAGATGTAGCAGAGCCTGCAAAGTTGGCCACCAGAGAGCTTTCTGATGTCTTCTCCGAGACAGCTGTCACCATCCCAGATCCTGATGAGCCTGCCCCAAACTAGGAGGCCCTGACCTTGGGGGCGCTGGAGAGGTGGAGCCATCAAACTCAAAAAGGTCAGGGTCAGAAGACCAATGCGAATGCTCCGTTGAACTCAGAACAAGAAAAGTTCCACCTATGACACCAAAGAAGTAATCTTCTAATGTAAAAGTCACTTCATGTGTAACCAAACTATATATCTTATCATTCCAAAGTGATCACATTCAGTCATCAGAGTCATCAGATCTTCACTGCTACCAGACAGCTAACGTAGCTGCCACAGTTCTCCAGCAACCGCGCTCTGCTACTAGACAGTTAACATAGATGCCGCAACTCTCCAGCAACCTCGCTCTGTGACCAGGCAGCTAACGCAGTTGCCGCAAATCTCCAGCAACCTCGTTCTGCAACCAGGCAGCTAACGTAGTTGCCACAAACCTCCAGCAACGGTGCCGTAGGCAGCTGTTCCTACAGGCACACACAGCACCACATTACCTGACGGACAAACCAGCTTAAAGGCTGTAAAGACTTGGTCTACTACAAAGGAGCAAATTCTACCAGCGTACTCATGGTGGAACAAACTGCCCTTTTCAGGGCCAGGCAACTTTTGACATTCCACATAGCTTCGCAGCTATTCTGTACATTCAATTTATACAATTTAATATACATAACTGTTACAAATTTACGTGGTTGTCTTTTAGAACATCGACAATCCCACCTTGGTGATCCCGATGTGATGATCTAAATGTGGGCTGGACAGCAAGTGCTGTATAAATACAGCAATGTGATATTGACCAGGAGTGAGTGCTGTCTGTTAGACCAGCAAAAGCGTGTGTTAGTATGTGGGATGTTCCCACAGTGCTATCTAAAAGTGATCAACACCAGGAAGTTCACGTGTCAACCAGAGTGAGGAGGCTCCCAGTAAAGTTTAGTAAAGATTTTTTTATAAATAAGCATAGAGCTGGTATTTTCAAGTACAAATAATAAAAATTTAAATATTGATGTGTTACTAACTGATAATGCACTATAGCTGGATGTGCTATGCATTACCGAACATTGGTTGGGAGATGATGAAATTGATTATTACAATTTTGAGAACTTTTCCCTTGTCTCGAAATTTTGTAGGAAAAAATAAACAGCACGGAGGTTCATGTATTTATGTTAAAATAAATTTAGAAGCAAAGTCTCACAACTTGTTTGATAGCCTGAATCAAGAACATTTCGAGGCCAGTATAATTAACTAACCCAGTTTAATACAATTATCATTTGTGTATACAAAACTCCTAATAGTAATATTAATATATTTATTGAAACTATAGATACTATACTATTTAGTAAATTCATAAATTAAGGGAAACGTATTTTTATTGTTTGTGATCTCAACATAGATTTCTTGGGCACAAGTGTAAATTTACAGCTGCAGACAATGTTAAATTCATATGGCTTGCAAGCAATAGTGGATGTCCCAATGAGAATAGGATCTAGAAGTCAAACAGCCATAGATCAAAAAATATTAAGTAAGTCCTTATAGGATTACAACTTTAAGGTGATCGCAACAGGTTATTCTGACCATTATGCACAAATACTAAAAGTACAGATGCAGTATAAGAAGAAAAAGAGGCTAGTTATTGTCAAAGAAGAATTCAGAACTATTAGATCTTATAGGGAAGAGAATGTTCAGTATTTAAATTATCTATTAGAGAAAGAGGCTTGCGAGCTTGTTCTTAAGCAAACTTCGGTGAATGATGCATACAATGAATTTCTAGGTATTCTTCAATATTATTATGATATAGCCATGCCTTGAAAAGGGGTAAAAATCAAGCAGCTGAAAAATAAATGGATTACCCCAGGTATAAGGGTATCAAGTATCAAACTTAGGTTTCTTAATAGACTAATGAAGGAAGCAAATATATCAGAAGAATTTAAAAAGTACTATTGTCGGTATAAAAAAAATATATTGTCGCATGTTGGGTATGTAACGCGACAAATAACTTCACGCCGTATTTGATATAGTGAATTTTATTTCACATTCGCACTTACAATCACCCAAATTACAATCTGACAATTACTGCTATCTGCAGTATCACAAATACTACACTGCAAATGCCACAATATAACTGACTGGTTGCTGGCTAACTTGGAACTAACTCAGAACTAACTCGTAGGTAGCTGCCTTGAGAACTAACTGTGAATAGCCTTTGCTGCTCCTTATGTGGCCTCGTTCCGGATAACACAGAATATGGCCACGTAATAGGCACCCTTGTTGCCTAGCGCCGCATTGCTAGCAACACTGTCCGGAGTTGTTTACTGTTGCCTAGTAACCGCGGTATCCCGTGGTGACGTCACCGCTGTTGACTCACGTTGCATAGCTACCAGGATGCTGGGACTCGGTTAACTTCGGCTCCGCTCAGCGCGTCACGGCTGGCGGGGGGAGGGGCGTCATCCATAGCTCAACACGTCACAATATAATAAAGTTATTAGTGAGGCCAAAAGAATAACTAATAACATGCAAATAAATATGTATGGGAATAAATCAAAAGCTATGTGGGACCTAATCAAGAATGAACTAGGTAAACAGAAAAAAGAAAATAGGAATATTGAATTAAGTTGAATGGCATAAATATTCAGGATCCAAAGGTTATAGCCAATGTTTTTAATGACTATTACACTAGTATTGCCCATAATATTCTCAGTAGTAATTTATTACAAAGAGATATTGAAGTCAGTG